ATTTTTTTAAGGTATTCCCGCTAACCAATTTATCCTTATTTAATTTGGAAATGATGGATAATGAAAAAGAGAAGAAAAAAATTTTCTATTTTTTATTTTAAATAGTGTTTATAAAAAACCTTTTGGTTTTTTGGGGGTTGGGGTGGGGGGCCCCTTTTTTTTAATTTTTGTTGAATTTTTTAAAAAAAAAAAAAAAAATTTTTTTTTTTTTTAATATTTTATGATACCGATAAGGGGTTAATGGTTTTTTTTTTTTTTTTTTTTTTTTTTTTTTTTAATGTGCATATTTTATTTTTAATTTATTTAGTGGGTGTGTTGTTGTAAGTGTGATGTTTAAATGATTTTCTATGTATTATTTGTGATTACCACTAAACCCACAATTCACAAGATTCACACTAATTTATATGTAAGTGGTATGTGAGAAAATGATGGTTGTGTATGTTATTGGCGATAAAAAAACATCCTAGGTATACTTATATTAATATCATGGTGATTAAAGATAAGTGTTATTTTTTTTTTTCCTCTATTAAATCTCTATAAAACTTTGAATGTATTATAATATTTAATTGGTCAATTATTTAATTATTGGTTCATTAAATTAATTATAAAAAAATAAAAATAAAATCAAAAAATAATTTTTTGATTTTTTTAATTATTATTTTTATTATTATTTATTTAATTATTTATAAAATGATCAATAAAACCATATTACTACTATATAAAATTAACTATATCTTTATTATAATGACAATTTATAAAAACAGAAAAATATCTTCATTTTTTATATATTAATTTTTACAATAAAAACAAAACAAAAAACCACACAACACTTTAACCAAATATTATCATCATAAAATAAAATGATTTAAAATTTATAATAATTTATTTTTTAATTAATGAGAATTTTTTTTTTTTTTTTTTGATCATTTTTTATGATTCATAAATTAGGAAAGGGAAAAAAAAAAAAAAATCGACTTTAAAAATATAACCACCATGATTATAAATTGGATATTATTGCACTGTTTTTTATTGGTTTTTTTTTTATTTTTATAATGTATATATTTTATACATTTTTTTATTTATTTATTTTGGTAAGCCAGTATTGTTATCGATTAATGATTCGGATTCAGATAAAATTTGTGGACCTGGACCAACTTTAGTATGAAGGATATATTTGAGTGAACTTGCAAAAGTAGTTTCTGGAGTGAAGAGTGATTGAAGCTTTTCATTTGGTTTGTAGGATTGAATTTTTTCAACATTTTCTTTTGGACCACGATAATAAGTTGAGAGATCTTGGTCTGGGAAATGTTTAATAAAGAGAGAAAGGACTTCGACAACATTTTCTTCTGGTAAGTAAATGCAAGCGTTTGGACCAGCATCAAAAGTGTAGGCACATTTGACTGAACCTGAAAGTTTATTGTAACGATGAATAAGGTTCATAATGTAACGGGAGGTATCATTGAGATAATAGATTGCTGGGGTGGTTGTGGCACAAACTTCATGGAAATCATCACTATCTTTCATTGTGATATCACCAAATGTTTGGAAATCTTTATTTTTAATTGCTTCTTCGATATCTCTCATTCTAGTTGGAACGGTAACAGCACAACGTTCTTTCATCATTGGGCTGGTAGCGGCTGATTTTTGCATACCATCAGTACTACTGGTTTCCTTCTTTTTATCGTTAACAACGAGGACAATGATGTTCATTTCTGGCCAGTGTGATTCTGGTTGAACTTGAACAGCAATACTATCAGAACCATCTTCTTTTTCACCCATTTCCCATTTAACAAAACCACCATACATTGATCTACAGGCGCTACCTGAACCAATACGAGCAATGCCCGAAATATCACCATCTACACCATAAATTTGTGCTAATGTATATACTAAACAACAATATCCACTTGCTGATGATGCTAAACCTGCTGCTGTTGGGAAATTATTAATTGAAACAATGTGAACACAATGTTTTTTATCTTGTAATTTAGTGGCTCTTGAACGAATTGCTTTTAAAACGTTTTGGTATCTAGTGGCATTAATATCTTCTTTTCTATATTTTGGTGATTGGTGTATTAGTATCAATTTGTATTGATTTTATTTTGGTGTTTTGTTTTTATTTACTTACTTGCCGTTTAACCAAATAGCATCTTCAGTATAATCTTCTGATGCAACGATGGTAGTAGTGGTTTTTAAATCGTCTTGGTGAAGAGTACCACTGAGTGATGAGTTGAGTGGTAAAATTAATTTTTCATCTCTTTTACCCCAATATTTGATAACAGCAATATTTACTGGTGCTGAACATGTAATTGATGCTAATACCATTTTTTTTAGGTTTTTTTATTTATATATTTATAAAAAAAAAAAAAATTATATAAATATAAAAAAACTATTATAAAAAAATGAAAAAAAAAAAAAAAAAAAATTTTAGCGATATTTTTTTTTGGAACAAAAAAAAAAAAAAAATAAAATAAAAATAATTAAAAATAAAAAAAAAATTTAAAAAAAATAATAAATATGTGCTTGAGTGGGTTAAAATGTTAGTAACAAAAATAATAATATTAAATTCACAATCCATTCACACACAAAACATTACATAGTATTTATAGGGTTTTTCAACTTTAATTTTAAAAATAAAAAAAAAAATAAAAAAAATTACAAAATAAATTATATGTGTTGTATTTTCTTCACATAAACAATTCATTAATTTTTAAATTATAGTAATAATAATTATACAAAAAAATGGCAATCGAAAAAATAAAGTATATGGGCTTTAAAAATTGTTATAAAATTAGTTGGAATCACTTTCGTGTGATTGTGACAACTGATGTTGGACCAAGAATCATTTCATTACAATATAATGAAGGATCATCAATTTTTGCTGTTCAATCAAATCCAAGTGTAATTTCACCAAATGAGGGATGGAAGTTATTTGGTGGTCATAGGTAAGATTCACGATGATAATAATAATAATAATTATAATAATAAAGTTATATTGTATTAATTTAATTTTTTAAATTTATTATTTAGATTATGGCATGCACCAGAACAAAACCCAAGAACCTACTATCCAGATAACTCACCAATTCAAATTGAAATTGTAAATGAATATAAGATTATATTAAGACAAGAAACTGAGTTAACAACAGGCATTAAGAAAACCATTTCTTTAGAGCTTAAAGGTACCGGTAGATTATCTCATATCGAAGTTAATCACTATCTTGAAAACAAAGGTCAATGGCCAATCGAAGTTGCACCATGGGCTATTTCTGTTATGGCACCAACAACATGTGCTATCATTCCATTATCAAACAATGACCCATCTGGACTTTTACCAAAAACATCAATTTCAATTTGGAATTACACTAAATTAAATGATCCAAGATTTACCTTTGGTAAGTAGCTGAATAATGTTAATAATAATACTACCACCATAATTTTATAATAATAGTTATAAAGTTTATATTAATAACATAATTTTTTAGGTGAGAAATATATTTTAGTAAAGCAGGATCCAGAATCAGAGACATCAACTAAAATTGGATCAAAAGTTAATTCAGGATGGAGTGCAGCTATACATAAATCAACATTATTTGTTAAAATGATTGACACTGATACAAGTAATTTGAAAGCTGACTTTGGTGCAAATGTTGAAGTTTATACAAGCTCTGATATTTTAGAATTAGAAACTGTTGGTCAATTATTACCATTAAACCCATCACCACTTTTATCACCACCATTGGATTTAACCACTCCAAATAAAATAACCAAAACCACTCCCCAGGTATCCAAATTAACTGAAAAATGGTATTTGTTTGAAACTGAATCTCCATCACCTTCAAATGATGGCGATGTCGATAAAAATATTTTACCAATTGTAAATGAAATTTTACAACACCAATAAATTCTATTATTACCATTGCTATAACTATAACAAAGTAATGGCCAATAGTAATAATGGTAATAAATAAAATAATAACAACAATAAAGTATTACTTTTAAAAAATGTTTTATTTTTCTTTTTTTTTTTTTTTTAAAAATATTTAATTTTTAAAATTATATACATTATTTTCCATATCTAACAGTTTCTTTTATAACATTTATACTATCTAATCATCATCTTCAATAGTTCTTCTTTTCATCTGTATAAATTTAAATATATATATATATGTATATATTTAGTAAATTTATTATTTTAATAAATAGATAAATACATATGTAATACTTACGGTAATGGTTGTCTTTTTAGTTTTTTCATTCATTTGTTCTAATAATGAGATAAGTTTAGCATCATCTACTTTTTCAGCTAATTGGCCTCTTTGGGCAGCATTAATAATAATATCTTCGACTTGACGTGCAGTCTCTGGTTTTACAATTGCAATTCTTGATACTGTTTGGTTTTGATTTCTGTTAATAAACTATGAAATAAAATATAGTATAAAACTATGAATATAAATACAAACATCTTTCTCTTGCTGCTGGTAATAAAATTTGGGATAAAATGTGTTGTCTTCTTTCCTCCATATCTCTTCTTTGGGATTCTTGTCTTTGAGCATTTTCAGCCTCCATTGAAGCTTGTTGTTGCATTTGTTCCATTTGTTGTTGATTCATTTTTATATTCTATTGTTTCAAAAGCAAATGCAATCAAAAATAATTAATAAACAAAAAAAATAAAAATAAAAATAAAAAATTTAAAAAAATTGAAAAAAAAAAAAAATAAAAATAAAAAAAAAAAAAAAAAAAAAAAAAAAATAATATATAAATAAAGTTAAATAAAACTTAATATTTTTAAATAAACTATTAATTACTATTTATTGATTTTAAAAAATTAATTAAATTTTTTTTTTTGTTGACATTCGATAAAATTGTTTTTTTTTTTTTTTTTTTTAAATTGATCGGTTGATTTAATTTGTTTTTTGTTTTTTATTTGAAGCAATAAATTTCTTTCTTTGACCAAGCATATAGGTGTAGAGATATGGAAGACCAACAACATAGAAACCTAATGAACAAATAAGAGCAGTGTAAAAATCGAAACCAAAATTTAAAGAATTTGGGAGTGAAAGAGTGAGGAAACCAGTTCTTTTAACAAATTCTAAACTATTCCAAATGGTACCAGTTTCACCAGTAACACCAGTTGGATAGAGAACAATGAAAGTTGTGTATCTTAACCAACCTAAAAAGTAGAGATCGATTTTGAGAATTGAAAGAGCATAGAAACTGTAACGAATAACTTCGGTGATTGACCATGACATTAACATTAATGAGAGGAAGAAATGATTTTGTGTGGATGGGATGTTATCAGCTAAAAAAACACAGGCAACACGTGAGAAAACTTGAATAAAAGTTGTAACTGCTGATGTTCTAACTAAACCTAAAGCCGAATGAACAATTTCTAAAACTGCAGCATATTGGAAAATACGAACTAAATCTCCAACTTTTTCCCAAACTCCAATTGGTGATTTGGTTTCAAAAAGATGAACACTTAATAAAAATAAAATATATGACCATCCAATAGTTTGGATAACATTGTATGCTACTAAATATACGTTTTTAACTGACATTTTTAAATCTGTGAATATATATTATTAAATGTGAAAATAAAAAAAAAAAATTAAAAAAATTTTCAAAAAATTTTAAAAAATTTTATAAAAAATCATTTTTTTATTTTTTATTTTTTATTTGGCAATGATTTAATCATTTATTATAGTTTAATAAACTATTTTATTATTTTATACATATTATATAAACAAATAGTAACCATTTTCTCTCACTATCAAAAAAATAAATAAAAATAAAAAATTGATGAAAACCAATATAATTATATCAAAATCAAAATAATATTAATGATTATAATTTTAATAATAACACAAAATAATAATATTAATAATAATAACTACACAAAATAATAATTATCATAAATTGGTTCAATGAAAAAATTAAACTACAAACAGAAAAAAAAAAAAAAAAAAAAAAAAAAAAAAAAAAAAGTAACCAACACAACTAAAATTGTTCAATTTACTTTTTTTATTTTTTTTATTTTTTTTTTATTTTTTTTTATTGTATTCGTATATCTATTGCTATCAAAAATTGCATAGGGAGGTACCTTAAAAGTTATATTTAAACTCAATTTACATATATATATTGCAACACCATGAAACCAAATAATATTACAAACCCCCCACAAATTTTTTTTCATAAAAACTAATAAACCACAATTTTTTTTAATCATCCAATAGGACCACAAAGATGCGAAATATACAAAAATTAATTTTTTTTGTCATTTGTCTTCAGTTTGCAAGGTGGTTCGAGGTTGTAATCTTTGACGTTATTACCCAATAAAATTCTTAACTGATATTTAATATCAAAAAATTTAATAAAACAAAAATAAAAATAAAAAAAAAATAAAAAAAAAATAAAAAAAAAATAAAAAATAAATAAAAAAAAAATAGGGTATCTAAAAAAATAGGGTAAAAAAAATTAAAATTAAACTTAAGTAAAAAAAAAACACTAAAAAATATTAAAAAAAAATAAATTTATTATTTTAATAAAAATTAAAAAAAATTACAATATCAAAAACACTCTATCATGCATCCAACTATGGATTGTTCTTCGTTTTGAGGGGCTAAATCTAAAAAGACCCTTTAAAATCACAGACCAATATCAATCAAAGAAAAGGTTTTTGGGAATTTTGTAAATTACAGGAAAAAAAAAAGTATGTATACCAATATTTAACTTTGGTTAAGTTCACTTAATTCCTATAATTTTAATATTTTTATTTTATTTTTATTTTATTTTGAAAATGTTAATAAAAAAAATTAAAAAAAAACAATATAAAAGAAATCTTAAAAAAAAAAAAAATTTCATTTCAAAACAACATCAACATCAACAACAACAACAACAACAACAAATAATTATTTGTTTATATATATCATTTTCTTCTTCAATTTGATTTTAATATTTATTTTATAATTTTTTTTTTATTTACACACCACTTTAAAAATGTACAAATATATTTTCGCTATTTTACTTTTATCTACTGCTGCCGCTAGATCCCAGGCTCTATTGTGTCCTGTAACCACATCACCTTCTTATTGCCCATTATATATTGTCAATGCTGATAGTATTCCAAGTGCTGCTGCTGTTTATCCACCAAGCCAAATTGTAAATCAAGTTCAACATATGAATACCTTTGCCGCTTCTTTTGGTTCTGCTTTAGATTTATTAGCTGGTGTAACAGACCCAATTTTCAATGGATCAGAACTCATTTCCGAGGTAGAGCAATACGCAATTGGTGTCAGATCAGCTGTAAATAACGGTGTTAATACCTGGACTAGTGTTCTAAATACCTTCTTCCAAATGGATGTCATTGGTCCAACTAACAAATACAGAACCGCTTTTACCTCCATCACTGCTATTAAAACACCATTCCAACCATTATTCACCAATGGTGTTGCTTTCTACCAAAGGGTTTTAGCTTCGAAAATAGTTTCGCTGGTGTTACTTTAACTCCTGCCCAAAGTGCCCAACTTGCTCTCTTCCCAGCCATTAGACAACACCTTGCTTTTTGTAATGCTGCTGCAAATATGGGTATTTACTACTCCTCGAATACCAAGACTTTTACACTAGAGATACCATCGATCTCTCTGATTACTATTTAGAAGGTAGCTGCACCATTGATGAAGCCAGAGAAGTACTCATTACAAACAACAGACAAATTCTTAGACCAGCTTATGACTTTTATTTAGCTCTTGATACTGTAAATCAATTAAATATCTAATTTAAATTATTTCTTCCTACTATTATACATTTATTTATTTATTAATAAATAAAGTTTCTCCAATTTTTAATAAAATTATTTATA